TTTCTTTCTTTCTTTCTTTCTTTCTTTCTTTCTTTCTTTCTTTCTTTTTTTTCTTTCCTTCCTTCCTTTTTGTCCCTCCCTCCCTCCATATCTATCTGTCTGTCTGCTTACCTACCTACCTACATATCCATTTATAATCTATATCATCTATCTCTTCTAGCTGTCTGTCTATCTAATCTTTTATCTATTACATTTATTTGCTGCACGTCTCACCACGTCTCATAGGCAACTCTGGGCAGCTTACAATAACAACGATTTTTAATTATAAGTAAAGATGGTGATTCTGGGTGGCTTACAACATTAAAACAATAAAACCATGAGAAATAAATATTGCTAATAACAATAACAATACAATTATAATTAAAGATGTGAAGGGAAGATGCAAACAAAGTGTGTGGGGGGGGGGAAGGGGAGAGGTGGGATCTTCTATTGGTCAATCAACCATCTCTTCCACAATGGGGCCCCAAGCCATCTGGCAGAGCCAGATCTTCAGACTTTTGTGGAAGGCTGGGAGGCTTGTCTCACTTTGTGGGACAAGCTGTTCCAAAGGGCAGGGAGGCCACAGCAGAGAAGGCTCTTCTGGACTCCGCCAGCCAGAATTCCTTAACCAGTGGGGTTTGCAGCATACCCCCTCTGCCAGCATGGGTGAAGTGGGCCAGTCCTATTGGGGTAAGACAATTCCTCAGATAACCTGGACTCATGCCATGCAGGCTTCAATGGTGATCACCGATACATTGAATGGCACCTGGAAGCAGACTGGAAATCAGTGCAGCTCACAAAAGAGTGACATAATACAGCTCACTCTGAGAGCTCTGGAAACTGCCCGCTCCACCACACTCTGCACCAGTTGTAGTTTTTGAATGCTCTTCAAGGATAGCCCTATGTAGAGTGCGTTGCAGTAGTCCAAGTGTGAGATGACCGGAGTTTGAATGATTAAGGGACCCACGATCCAGGAAGGGATGCAACTGGACACAGTATGAGTATTTAAATGCCTTTCACCAACTGGGAAAGGAAGAAATGTTCTCCTGGAGTGCCTTCCACTTGCTAAAAGGATTGTTTTTAATAGGAAGGAAGAGCCAAACAGTGCCTTCTTCAGTGCATGGCTGTGCTTCTTCTGTTCTTTCCTCATCTGCCTCTTTCCAATGCTGTCTTTCAGTTCTAAACCTCTGACAATACTTACAGCTTTGCCCTGTGTTATTAGTTTCTCTTTTGGCCAGTTAGTGAGGGACAGGAAAGGGAAATGCAGAAAAAAAGGTAATAGATGGGTTGGATGCAAGGACAACAGCCAGCCAGGAAAAGAAACTCACCCAATGTACTGTTCACTCTTGTTGTATTTCTTGGCCAAATACTTGGCTGAGGCCTTGCTGGGGATCTTCACCATGGACAGCTCTTTACCATAGCGTGTGACGTTGCAAGGCATCTCACATAAACAATAATCATTGTCTCGCTCCACCAAGAAGTCTGGAGAGCCCAAAGGAAGGGAGAAGTCACAATGATTTCAAATAACAAAATATCAAAAGCAGTTCATGATATCTCATTTTAAGAGACTGGAGAGGTGATGTCTATTGGTCCTTACCAAGGGCTGGATCTGCACATTCTTTGTACTGTTCAGGGGTGCAGTACGGAGCATCACCTGCAAAAGAGCATAAAAGTGGTGTTATGCTTTAATGCAAGCAGCTATTGTGGCAAAGTTCATTCCTGCTGAATTTCAACCCTTAATGCAGAGGTCTCCAAACTTGGCAACTTTAAGACTTGTGGACTTCAACTCCCAGAATTCCTCAGCCAGCATAGTCCCTCCCCCTCCCTCCCCCCCTTTCTCCCTCTCTCTCATCTCCAGTATTATTCTCCAGTTTTTTTTTCTTTTCAGTGGAACAAACCTCTCCTTTCTCTATCCTGCTTTCTTTCTGTTGGAAGGAGGGAGGAAAGTTTTTACAATCATATCTGAAAGGTGCAAATGATTGAGGGATCAAATAATTTTACAACAGGGTGTCTTATTTTAGAGCCAAATATTTTAAGTTACTTGGTTTAAATCTTTACTTGTTTTATATCTTGTCTTTTGTTAAGGAGCTTAAGGTGTTGACGGTTATTGTTTTATCTTGGCATTCTATTTTAGGAGTGTGGTGTATGGTAAGTATATATACATTCTTAAATATATGCACATCTACATACATGGTTGTGATATGGACAGATTTATTGGGTGAGAGGAAAAGTATATGTGTTTATAAATATAAACAGTATATTTCTATCTTCTCTTTTTAGTGAGGAATCAAATTAAGTCATTTTGTTCCTTTTGGGCTAATAAGGCAATATTTATATTTTAATGATTGTATTATATTATGCTGTTGGGGTTTTTCAATGTATGATTTGGTAAGCCTGGCATTATTGATGTTGTATAGCTGTGTTTTTATTAGGTCAGCGACATATATTAAAGTGCCTGTACAACAGTTATAGAAATTGATTTTATGAGAAGTCTATCACATAAACTACATAAACATTTGAATGAAAAGATGGAGAACTTATATTTGGGACCATCTTGATTTTGTGATTAAAAAGTTGTTAAAGATGGATACAGTTGATATATTTATTTCCAGAACTGCTGCCTCTACATCTTTCTTTGTGAAACATATGTCAAGTTGAATTATATTTAGTTGAAATCAACACTGTCCTAGAAATTCACAGTAGGAAATGAGAGAACTGCCACTCCTTCACAGTGCTCTTTGCCATTTTTTTCATGTACAATTTTTTCTGTCCCAGTGGTTAAACAAGGCTGCTCTGTGTGCAAATAAGTCCTCTATTATTTCTGGGTTATGAACCCTCCTTTAATGACTTACACTGTCTTCTGTTACTTTTATATCTGGAATATCCACACAATGCAGACACTGTTTGTCAGATTCCCTTCTCTATGAACCTTCTATATACCAAATTATGTATCATAAAGTAGCTAGAAGTAAGGAAAAAAACCCCCTATACTGGGAATCCTTGATTAACAACCACAATTGGGGCCGGCAATTCTGTTGCTAAGTGATGCAATTATTAAGCAAGATATCCCATGACCACGTCTTAGGATTTTACTGCTGGCTTCTCAATTGACTTTGCTTGTTGGAAGCCGACTGTTAAGAATGCAGATGGTGATTGTGTGACCGCAGGAGTTTGCAACAGTTGTAAACACCTGCCAGTTGCAAAGTGCAGAAATCTTGATCACATGGCTGCAGAGGTATTGTGACAGTCTTAAGTACAAGGGCTGCTCATAAAGTCACTCTTTCAGCACCATTATAACTTTCAGTCATCACCAAACAATGCGATTATTAAGCGAGATCTACCTGTAGGGATATTCTGTTTCTTATATTCTAAATATAGGGGAAAAAAATAACCAAGCGGAAAAAAGGCTAACAATTTTTCCAGAGAGCAAATGTTATTTTAATACATTGTGCAAGTGAAGTATCCAATTAAAAATGCTACACCTAATGAAGATATTGCCATTGACTCTATTTTCTTTGCATCTTAAGGCAACCTTACTAGTCAGAACCTACACTGAATCTGAACACAGTGTCGCATTATGTAACCAAAACTGAACTCAAACCCCTGCATTAATCCATGCCTTTACTTGTCTATCATATCTTAAATAATGATACCATATCAATTTCTAATCAGGCTTGATCTTCAATCTGAAACATGCTCATCCCCCATTTTCTCATCATTTGTCTGTGCTATTCTGCCTACTCCTCCCTAGGAGATGCAGCTGACTAAAATAATTAATTCACTTCCTTGTTTTGATTATGCTAATTACATATCTGGAAGAGGTATTCTGATTAACAAGAAAAACTCTTTACAGACCAAGGTGAGGTAGTTGAAAGAGTCCTAGGATCTGTTCAAGCATGCCTTAGAACTAGAGACCGGGAGTGGCTCAATAAGGGGAAGTCATAATTAGAGGTGAACCATAATAAGAAGCACTTTTAAAGAATATTTTCAGCAACTGTAAAACACCTTACTTCCATTGCTTTGGGGCAATGTTGGTATTTACTTTGAAAATAATGGAAAATATTCATGTCTTGACAAAGTAGTACCCTCATTCTGACTATAGTTTATTGCGCCACTGTGATACTTCTAAGGAGCTAGAGCTATTGAGGTATATAGCACAGACCAGGTAGAGTAGATATTATCATATGAATTAGCATATTCTTCTGGGAGAGTATGGTGGAACTTGTGGTGAGTTATCTGAAATCAACAATTTGGAAAAAGCTAACCTGTGTAATGATATTTCAGTTTTTTAAAGGAATGTTCACATGACTTCAGCATTTTTTTTTCACTTGCAGGTAGTTTAATTATGTCATCATGCACCAAATTAGACTGCTTATTAGATGTTGTGAAACCAGGTATATGATACTGATTTGCCAGCTTTTTTTCAAATGGAAGAAGGTAATGCAGTAAAATGGCTTAGAAGCAGACACAGAAGATTGTTTCATATTTTTTTGTACATTGCCCTTGGTTCCTATAAGAGGAAAGGTGGTATATATATCATCATCACTATCATAATCATCTAACGAATTGAAAACCTACAACAGTTAATTCCACAGCTGAATATATTATGCAGATTAACATACTTCTGCTGACTGCTGGCTGCCAGCAGTTTGATTCTGACCCACTCAAGGTTGACTCAGTTTTCCATCCTTCTGAGGTCAGTAGAGTGAGGACCTAGATTATTGGGGGCAATATGCTGACTCTGTAAACTGCTTAGAAAGGGCTGTAAAGCACTATGAAGCGGTACATAAGTCTGAGTGCTATTGCTATATGGCACATTCATATATTGATTCATGTAGTGCAGGGGTGGGCAAACTTTTTGGCTCGGGGACCTCATTTACTTTTAAAATTTGACAGATGGGCCGGGTCAGCACAAGATACGATACATATAAAAAACTGCAAAATCTCAGCAAAATCAAGTCACTGCACCTAATGTGCCACCTGGTGTCGAAATGCCTGTCATTACAAGTCAAAATCAAATGAATGCAATCATTCACATCAAACCTTAATTTTGTACCAATCTTCAGCGGGCTGGATTAAAAAGACCAACGGGCCGGATGTGGCCTGCAGGCCGTAGTTTGCCCACTCCTGATCTAGTGCAATATTGTTTTTGATCGCAACAGTAATCCTACTGCTGCTGCCCAAAACTTTTTAAACTGAAGGTCCAGTTGAAGATTGGGTGGTACTATGGCTAGAGGTTAAGACATTGGGCTTATCAGCTGGAAAGCCGACAGCCCAGGTTCAAGACCGAAGCATTCTGCAATGGGGTGAGCACCCGTCTTCACCTAGCTCCTGCCCACCTAGTAGTTTGAAAGAATGCAGTTGTGAGTAGATAAATAGGTACCACTTCAGTGGGAGGAAATAGTGCTCAGTGATGTCATGTTGTCTGTTTGTGGAAACATCTTTGGACTGTCAGTGGCCTTGAAATGGAATTGAGCACTGCCCCCTATAGTCGGCAACGACGAGCAAAGTAACATCTACAGGGACTTCTTTTTTTCCAGGTAAGTATCTGGGATCTTCTACACTATAAATCTTGTGCTTTATGACTCCATCTGATTCTCATTTCTTGCTTGCTTACTAAACCCTAACCCTAACCCTAACCCTGCCATCTTGTCACCATGACTAGCACCAACGAATTGTGCCAAGTGGCACAAAAAACTTCCAATTACAGGGCAGTGACATGATTTCTAGTTCATGTAGGAGCACTGGCAGAGACAGGAAGCTACTGTATCTGCAGCAAAGCATCTTATCTTCTCGGGCATGGTTGAAATTCTGGACTGTGGTGGTTGCTGGGTGTTTGAGAGTTGGCAATCACTCTCTCCACTTCAGTCTGCAAGAGGAGCTGTCCAGCACTGCCAGCAGTCAGCTGACTTGGTGAAGAATTGGACTGGGCAGAGGATTATTAGCCTATGCAGAGTTTCAGCACAGTATCTGGTTGAGGTGTACTGGTATCTCCCAAATGCAGGGGTGTCAAACTCACGGCATCACGTTGGCATCACGTGACATATTGCAACTTTTTTCCCCTGTGCTAAACCGCAACTTTTTCTCCCCTTCGCTAAACCGGGCATGGGCATGGCCAGCATGTGACGCATCTGGTCCGTGGGCCACGAGTTTGACAGCCCTGTCCTAATGTGACTACATTTAACTGTCAATATTCATTTCTTATCCCCCATCCCCACCTCATGCTTCAAATCAAATCTTACCTTCAAGGAGCTGAACCTTATTTCATTACTCTTTTGAATACAGAGCAGTTATTCTGGAGAATGCAAAACTGGGGGATAAATCCAACTGAGGAACATTAGATTTCTGCTTCTGCAGATCCTTTGCATTTATTACAGCCAGCCATGTAATTGTCCTCTATATTTCTGATTCATTCTGGAGACCACCCTAAAGGAGATGTCTAATCCAGTTTCAGCTCTGGGCATTTCTGCAGGCATTAACATAGGCAACCTGTTGTTACCCAGTGTGGCATGTTAGCCCACCATCTAAATATCAAAATAGTGCGCACATTCCGGAGTGTACTCCCATAAATCAGCTCTTCATCTTGCAAAGGACTCAATAAGAAAATGATTTAAAAAACAAAACCCAATTGCCACTTTTATGGACTCCAGTCCTTAGCTTCCCTTCAGAGCTGCCCTTCCTTCTTACCAGGCATATGCACCATACGACAGTTGCAGTTCTCCACCAAGTAGCGGGTTTCACAATCTATACGGCAAGCAGTGATGCTGTAGGTGTCATAGAATTCAGACTCCACTGTCACTGACTTGCAGTCACCCCAAGGTGGAGGAAGGTAGATAAGCTGAGCAACAGAGGATAGAATGAGAAGGTCAATATCTCCTTAATCTTTCCTAAGGCAAAAAGAAGAGTTCCATTTGGCCTGTCACGATGATGTCCTACATACAGACTCAGTAGAGTTTACAAATGAAATAAGGCAGCAATAAACACATAAAATAATGCTACCAATAGCATATCCTTGTGTAGATAAGGACACAGCTCTGAAGTCCCTGCCCCCTACTCAGTAGCACTAGCCATCTGTCCTCAGCCTGGATTGCGGGATCAGATGGCAGGGATGTTTCAATCTAAGCTGTTCTTTTCGAAGGAGAATGGGAGAAAAATCAATGTGGGGCGCTTCTATTTTTTTTTCCTTGCAACAATTTACATTCACTCATTATCTTGCTTTTCTTCCAGAAACCCAAGGCAGCTTACATAATACCACTTTCAATTTTTATTCATGATAAAATAGGAACAAAACATGTTTTATTCAATAAATGTATCTTGTGAGGTAGGTTTTGCTGAGAAACACTGAGTGGCTGAAAATAATTCAGTGGACAAGGGTGGATATGAATCCAGGTGCTCCTGGTTCTAGCCCAGTGCCTTAAATCGTAAAACCATTCCTGCTCTTTAGTACGGATACACGAAGGTATTTTTAAATAGAGCAAATGTGCCTTCAACGTACCCGCTGCTCTTGGCAGGACACAAACGTTTGGAAGCCCGGTGCCACTCCAAATCCCAGCTGGTCAATGAAGGGTGGTTCATCCTGGCTGTGGATCTGCACTTTAATCCCAGCTTCAAAGGACGTCTCATCTATGGCACAGAGAGATAGAAAGCATGGGACGAGCAAGTGAACTGGGCTCTTTCTTTTAATCCGACACCCTCTAATCCCCAGGGACATCAAGAGATACATCCATGCCTCAAGTAGAAGCATGAAGTTGAAGCTGCAGGGGCGTGGAGTGCAGGTTCTCCGCACCCTCTCAACCCACACGTGCCATCGTTTCTCCTGTGTTAGGGGTTAACAACCCTTCTGGGCCAGTGAGTGCCTTTTGGGAGCCTCTTTCGGGTGTTGTCACAAAATGACTGCCAGGATAGATGAAATCAATTATAGACATTTATTTACCAGCAAATGGATAAGCTTGCAGCCTGAATATTCCTCTAGACTTTACCCTTTGTTTTGTTTTGTTTTCTGAGCAGCTGGGCACGCTTTCAAGTAAAACATTGGGCTACAATCCCCCTCCTGTTTTCATTGTAGAAAAAAAGCCCAGAGGCCTTCTAATAAATAAAGATGATCTAGAAATTGAGGCTTCCCTTTGCAAGCACGCCAGCTTTCCATGTATTTCTTTAAACTAAAGGATGTGTTCAAATATTGAAATCAAGCAGAAAGAGGAGGCTGGTAAATACCAAAAGAGATGTTTTTGGCAGCACGTTGCTCCCCCTCCCATTCCTTGATCTATTATGCAGCAATTTTAGGACTGATTGACTGACCAGAATCAAAATTACCCAAAGGCTCACACAAACCAGTCTTTCTCTCCATTAATGCAAAGGTAGAGATTAAATCCAGGCACACATCCAAGGATAATAATAGCATTTTTAAAACCAGGCAGAGCCCATACGGCTCTCTTTCTCTCCCCCTCTCCCTAGAAAGGGAAAGCCAGCTAGGAATGCAAACATGCTTTCCACGTAGCCTCTTGATGGCCTTTGATTAGGGGCTCTGGCTTCACCCCACTCCTGCAGTTTGAAGAACACATTTCTCCCTTAGCAGAACAAAATGCTATTTCTGGATAAGAGGCAGCTACCTGGTTGGCATTGCTAAGCTGGTTGCTATGGTGAGTAGGACAGGAGTAAAGAGGGGGAGGCTGAATAAGGAAACGGATGTGGAAAGGCAAGACGAGGATCTCAGGAGATTGTGCAAGTTTAGGAAATGACTGAATGGAGGGAGACTTGGGGCAGAGGAGATTTTGGCAGATTGAGGCTGACTAAGGATGGGTAAAGGGACGCATTGGCTGAGTGGCTAAGATGCTGAGCTTGCTGATCAGAAAGGTCAGCAGTTCAGCAGTTCGAATCCCTAGCACCGCGTAACAGAGTGAGCTCCCGTTACTTGTCCCAGCTTCTGCCAACCTAGCAGTTCGAAAGCATGTAAAAATGCAAGTAGAAAAATAGGGACCACTTTGGTGGGAAGGAAACAGAGTTCCATGCACCTTCGGCGTTTAGTCATGCCTGCCACATGACCACGGAGATGTCTTCGGACAGCACTGGCTTTTCGGTTTTGTAACGGAGATGAGCACTGCCTCCTAGAGCCAGAAATGACAAGCACGTATGTGCAAGGGGAACCTTTACTTTTACGGATGGGCAGGGCAGAACTATACATGTCATGCCACTGTCATGCCCTTGTTAGAGTCAGACTCTGAGGGAGAGGAGGATAGGGAGTGGAGGTGTGGCTCTGGAAGTTGTGGAGGAGGCTGGAGAGGGGCAGAGGCCGGCTGGGCAGTCAGAAGAAGAACCAGGCCCATCCCCTCTGCATTCTAGGACACGCAGGGAGGAACGGAGAAGGCAACAACTTGCCTTGCGAGAGAGGAAACAGCCATGATCCCTCTCATTGGTTGCAGCTGGGGAGAATAGTATATAAGAGAGATGGTTAAAATACAGCGTTGCCAGAAGCAAAACGTGTGTTATTTTGGACTGAAGTTATCTTGCTTGGCGTCCTTCCAACAGACTGTGCCGTGTTCTCTCCTTGAAGTTGGTAATTACTTATCCTGGTCCGTTGTGGAAATTTCTTCATTGTAGTTTTAGTTTTTTATTTCACCTCTATCTGCTCATTAAGTTCAGACTGTATTGCTTTCTTTTGAAGACTATTTTTGAATACGTTTTATCTCCAACTGAGAATATTGAACAGTGGGGCCAAGTTGGAGGCATTAAAGGACATTTATTTATGTTTTGGATTTTGTTACATTTGTGCCACGCTCTTGGTCATCACAGCCACAAGGAGAAATGAGAAACTGATGCAGGGATAGGAAAGGAGGAAGCACTTTTACCTGTCTCTCCCCAGACTGGAAGGTATTCATCCTGTTGAATGTCCAGCATGATCTCCAAGCCGTTGCCGGTGCCCCCTTTCATGGCAATGAGGGGTGGCTTGTCAGACTGGCCAGAATTGAAGGTGTAGCACTTTCCGTAGCGAGTGAAAACCTGTGGAGGAGAAAAAGTAGGCTTAGGATAGGAATCTGACACTTCCTCTGGAGGCCAGTGGGCTCTCCTAGCCTTGATAACCAAGAGCAAGCCAGAACAGAAAGGTATAACCTACAGCATTGTCATATTGTGTCTTTCAACAAGTGTAGTAAGTGTACTCTTTGGGCCTGGTGGACACCTCTGGAACTTGGGAGCATGTTGTGGCACTCTTGCAAAATGGCTGCTGGGGGAGAGGCTTGTCCAGTTCCAAAATGTGCCACAAGCATTGATTTGCTAGACCAGGTGGGGAACTATGGCCCTTGTATGTCTTGTGGACTTCAACTCCCAGAATTCCTGAGCCAGCATGCTTGCAGTGACCACATGTTCTTTATTATAAAGGACAGTCTTTGCTTCCTTGAAAGCCATGCTGTAGATTTATTTATTTTTCAAAAACTCATTTTTGTCATTTAATTTAGCTATTTAACTTTTAGCACACAAATGGTACCACTTAATGCACACACGATCTTTCACATTCAGGTAAAAAAATAAGAAAACTGGATTGTCTTTTTAAAACTAATTGATATATTCTGTTTGGTTTTAGATATTTTATTATAATATGCATTTCTTGGTTTTACACTTGAATTTTCCTTTGTTAGAAACATAATCCATTTAATATTTTTTTTATCATAATGAACCTCTTTCAGATTTGTCTCCTTTTCAAATTTGCCTTTATTTCCCACCCCCAAGAAAACATCATCTCTGTAGGCATACCTGGAAATAAATATGATATTGGGGCCTGACTTTTTCCTTTGCAGTATCTTGTTGCCAGCTCCCCTTTAAAAATTATTGTCCTTTTTAAAATACCAATTCAGCTGAAGGAAGGTGTTCTGTCTTTTAATTGGCTGACTGAATATAAAGACAGAGAAGTAACTCTACAAAGGCTTCCATACAAAGTTTCTTTATTGGTTCACAAGGCATCCTCAAATATAACTCACGGTTACGTCAAGATTCATCTTAATATCCAACTCTTTGCACAGATGACTTCATAGTGTAAAAGAATAGTGATCTTTCATCCCATAATGAAGGAGCAAAGGGGTGAGGCACCAGCATGCTGCTGGGGTCCAGGCAAGAGTGAAGGACCTCCCTCAACCCAACTAAGGGTCAATTCAATGACCAATCAGGATTACAGATGTGACCACATGACATGAACTACATTTCCCAGGATGCATTAACTACATTTACCATGAGGCATTCCCTTAAGGGGACAGCTCCCAATTCTTACTTAACTATCTCAACTCCCATTACCTATATACTGTCTGAACAGCACAGAAGGAGCAAAGGAAGAGATGTCTGAGAGCACACTGGCAACCTGGATACTACCTTAGGGACCTTCCTCCCTTTCCCAGTTCCTCCTACTTTGGAGTCAGTCAGTTCCACTATGAATAATTACCAGTGGGGAAACAGTTGAGAACCAAAGACACAGGTTAGTGAAAAATTATGTCCTTTTGCTTATTAGGCATAAGGAATGTGCTGGATTGGAGGTTAAAAAGTGCCATGCATAGAAGGAGCCGACAGGATTATTTACTTTACAACTCAGGAAGCTAACTATCTCTGATGAATTCTCTTAAGAAAATGTAGCTAGCCCGGGAGGGCAGAGCTGGCGTCGCGACAATATGGCATGTGATCTTGGAGGTCTGAGATTGCTGCCGATATCTTTGCTCCTGGATGGTCCAATTGGATCTAAACCATCCCAAAGAGATGGTGAATGTAAAGAGTGCATCCTGTTGATCCCAGGGATACCGCAAAGTCCCTGGTAGATCCAGGAGAAGCTCTTTTTGCCAGCAGCAAAGAGGCAGCCATTAAAGCTGCTGAAGTTGGGACAGCTCCAAAATGAAAGAGAATGGAAAGAGAAAGTGTGCCGGTTTGGTAAGAACTTTATTTTAAGATTTGAAAGGACACCCTAAGGAAAAGAAAGAATCTGTAAAAGTTTTGACAGAAGTGATTAAGCGGCGATTTTAAACAGGAATGTTAAAGTAATATTTTTATTTATTTTTTTCTCATTGCTGGATTTTCTATACATGATTTTATATTTTGAAACTGGACTGGTCTTTTCTTCTTCCACCTATTCTTTCTCTCCTTTTGGACTTTGTAATATTTTAGGCTAGAGACTCCCTTTTAGTCATCTTTTTAAGTATCTTTTCCCCTTTTTAATTAATTTTCATTATATTTTGTTTGGAAAAGGAGGAGGAAACCGAAAGCAAAAGAAACTTGGTAACACTGCCAACTAGAGGCTTGGAAATATTTTATTTTTTCTTGACCAAAGCTGAGAAAGAACTGAGACTTCTTTTCAAGGACATTGCCTATTTGATAAGATAGAGGGAAGAGCATGAGAGAGTATTATTGCAGGTGCTCTTCTGGGTTTCTATCAACATCTGGAGTCTGGTGTTGAAGCTTATAGAAAAAAAAGGTGATAAGACTCTGGAGAAGAGAGTTATAAATTTTAACAAAAGCCTTGGACAATCAACAAGGTGCAGTGTGCTCTTTTTATCTTTTATAAGCTGCGCTATTTCCTACCTTAACAAACCCCCTCCTTACTAGTTTAAATTTTTATGTTTGCATTTTATTTTAAAGGAAAAACTTTAGTATTAATGATTTCTTTCCTTTTTTTTTTAACGGATTAGTCTTTTTCTCTCTCTCTCTCCCTCCCCTGTATTTTTTTTCTCTATTTACCTTACATATTGGTTTTTTTTATGGTTTTCTTTTTTTTATGCATCCTTTTATACCTGAGACCTCTTAATTGGATTAAGGTGTTGAAGAACCTGAAGAACTTTTTTTTCCTCCTTATTAGTTTTTTACCTTTTACTTTTCTGCCTTTTTCAGGATTTAACAATTTTTTCTTTTTTGTGTGTGTTTATGCTTTTTTCTACCATTTTTGAGTTTTTACTGCTATCTAGCCAATCGATGGGATTAAGGTATACAAGAACCTGAAGAAATATTATTATTATTATTATTATTATTATTATTATTATTATTATTATTATTATTAT